GGGGCCGGTCCCGGGCTCCCAGCCGCTCGGGAAAATTCACTCTCCCTTCCTTCTCCTTCCAAAATTCACTCCCCCTTCTCCTTCCAAAATTCACTCTCCTTTCTCCTTCCAAAATTCACTCTCCCTTCTCCTTCCTTCCCATCTTTCCTCCTTTTTATTTCTTTCTTCCTTTCTCTTTCTTTCTCTCTTCTCCCTCTTTTTCTTCTCTCTTTATCTTTCCCTCTTCATCTTTCATTCTTTCTTGTTCTCTTTCTTTCTCTCGTTCTCTTTCCCTTATTCTCCCTGTTTTTTCCTTTTTTTTTTTATTTTTTTTTGTGAATCCAGTTATGCCAGATTGGAGAATAGGCAAGCTGCAGTGATTTTGTGACCTTTCTTCTCCTTTCATATAGTCAACACTCCTGTTTGGTGTAAATTATATGTAACTTGAAAATGAACATGTATATATAACTGAAAAATAAATATGACATCACAGCTGTATGGCAATAGATGCAAGTAAATAGCCACGCTGTGAATTCTTTTCAGTGTAGTACTTATTAATTGGCCACTCAAACATATCCAATTCCCACATATACTAAACCCTGTTACACAAGAAATTTCCTCCAAATGTGACAGTCCAGTTCTATTCCTCATAACAATAATTTCCAAAACAATGAGAGTTTACCTTAAATGTCCCAACTGAACTGTCAGTACTGACAGTTCATTTCAGACCACTCCTTCCCATCAGACTCTTTGACAGTGTGGACATATACAGCTTATAAAAGCATCATGTAAAGCTTATGAAAGAGAAGTTCCAGACCATCCAGCATCCCTTCTCAGCCAGGATACCCAGGAGGGACAGGACAAGTTCCCACATGTGGGGCTTTTGGGGTTTGAGGTTGGTCGGGGGGGTTTTTTTGTGGTCATTTTTAGTACATTAAGCACAGACAGTGCGGAGCCGGCTGTGTGTGTCCCCCCCCCCGCCCCCGGGGATGCGGGGGAGCGGGGATGCGGGCTCCTGGCCCCGGGGCTCGTTGTTGCCCTCCGTGGGGGGGCTACAGCTCGCTCCTGGCCCGGAGGAGATGATGAGCTCCCCCCCGAGCCGTTTTGGGGGGGGGTAAGGGAGGGCTGTTCGGGGTGAAGGGGCGGCGGAGCCGGGTTTCCCCCTGTCTCTCCAACGCCGGGGTGTAAACCCCCGCCAGCCTTTGCCAGGGTTATTAGGGCTGTGAGCCCAAAAACTTGCCCTTCTCCGCTGCCAAGGTGGGTTGGGAGCCGCTGAGAGATGGAGGAAGGCTTCCCTTGCACAAGGGTGTCCCCGGCTCCCTCCTCATCCTCAGTGAAGGGCTAAACTTGCCAGGAGGTGCCTTCCTCCCGGCCCTGGCAAGGAGGCTGGGAAGCAGCAGGATGGATTCAACACTACCCAACAATTTCCTAACCCATCTCCTCCCCCAGCTGCTAGGGGTACAACTGCTGTCGGGTGGAGGGACTCAGGTTCGGTCTCTCAGGTTTGAGGGGACAGAAAATAACCATATGACAGGCCAAAAAAAAAAAAGAAAAAAAAAGGAAAAGGGATCGTCTTACGGGAGAAAAGGGCCGGGGATGG